TTCCATTAAAACATATTTCAAGCCGCCGAAGAAGATTAGTCAGTTTTTACCATCAGTCAAGTGTAATATTCCTCTGCAAGATGCAGGAGTGTACAAGCTGGATTGTGAATGTGGTCTCTCTTATATAGGACAAACTAAAAGATCCATAAAAACCCGCGTTAAAGAACACATAGCTGATGTGAAGAATAGACGCTCCGGGAAGTCTGCAGTCTGTGAACATGTACAGGATCGCCCCCGTCACTACATTAGATTTGATAGACCACAAATCCTCGCTAAAGAACACCGATTCCTTCCAAGGATGATTCGCGAGGCTATTGAAATCAAAAAACATCCTAATTTCAATAGAGAAGATGGCTGGGTGCTACCATCTGCTTGGGATCCCATAATTAATAAAATTAAATCCCAACCCAAGCATACAACTGCAAGACTTCATGATACTGTAAGTTCATACTGCGTAGATCGGAACAAAAATTAATAATTTTTAATCTGGAGGTAGCCGTGGTTAACTATGACATTGGGACGTCATACACCTCAGTCCCCCCCGTGACCATGGGTGCTGTAAAGTGCTTGAAACGTCGGGAATGTAAAATAAGTTAATATACGCGATAAAATCCGTAAAATTAGTTTCATTTAAATGTGTAGTGTTCGCGTAAATATAAGAAATCACTACGTACTGCGGTAGCTTTACGACTAACATAAATTGTTATGTTTTACCACAAATCTCTCAGTCGTTACCATCATACTATACACATAGTATCCATATAGATAAAGCAATACATTTAGCAGACCCTTCCTTCAATGATCCTTCCGTAATTGACATCTTTGTTAGTAGTAGTTGTAGGAGCAGAGGTCTTTTGGGATGTTTTAGGTTGCACCCATATTAGCTTTGAAAAAAAACCAGCCAAGGCTGCATGAATCAAAGCTTGGGTGCATCATATCAGGCTGTATTCCTCAGCCTACTCAGGCAACATCTTCTATCTGTCATTTTACTCATACCCAAACAGATGACTCTCTTCTTACTCGCTTCTGGGAACTGAATTTTGTACCTGCAAAGTATTGCATGTCTTCCGAAGAGCGACTATGCAAGCAGAGCTTTGAGGATACTACAAGAAGGCCAGTCGTCTATGGCTTTTCCTTTTTCCTTCTCAAAAAAAATTTTTTTGCTATATAAAATAATAAGACACTTCCGCATATATAATATATAGAAGGGTTTTAACAAAATCATCTGTTTGACCTAAATCAAAAAATGCTGACTGTGGCGTTTTTTGGGCTATTAACTTTGTCGGCGAGGGTGTCAGGATTAAAATAGACTCATTGGCCACTTTCAAGGTTGACAGCTAAATTTATGACTGCGGAAAACCTTTAATGTATGGAAAATCCTAAAATCCTCCAAACTGCTCAAATAACGCCCACTCTCATATAATTTCACTTCGTTCTTTTTGTTTCCTAGCACGCAAGCCGCCTGATCATTGCCCTTATTAATGTACTTACAAATGTACTTTATCGATTTAACAGAATTGCAATATTCTACATTAATATGTGCCTTAAATGTCCGTGACAGAATCTTATTATAGGGACCACCCACCTATAGTCTACTTCATTGTCTTTTAATTAAAGTGTAAAGCCACTGTCGGCCAGAGATCGTCTTCTGTACTGTGGGTAACCATCTTGACCTGTCTCAAAAACTGTCTGGGATATTTTTTACTACATTTATTATCTTTCATGCACGGAGAATTATTACTAGGGTTCCAATATGGACCGTGAATCATATTGTTTTTAATTATGTCGTATAAAATAGGATCTTAATTTGAATTTGGTCTCTCAGGACATATAAGTTCATCCACCATGTCAGGCGAAATGTGGTTAACCATCCACAACAATCCAAAAAAAAAGAAAATCCCTGGCTATTATGTCGTGTCTATCATAACTTTTTGTCCAAGCAAAAGCGTCTCCGTGATTTCATCCCATCAAGGATTACAAGTAAATGTCATAAAGAGATCTGGACGCACATACTCGTATGTACGTCGTGGCGCCTTGTTTCCGCTCACGTCATCGTGGCCGTCCCAGTGAAAGAAGAAAGCAGCACCACCTTTTGACCCAGCTGATTGGCATTAACGTCCTGTCTCCCTATCGCACCTTGCAAGTGTAATATAACTATCCACTCTAAGATGCGCCTAATTATTCCTAATATAACTTAACCTTTCCGTTTCGATTTTCGCAAATATATCAACTAAAAACTGGCTAAGCAGCGAACGAAAACATAGTAGATGATTATTTTCTCCTTTCCTCATCATTATACGGTAAGAATAAAAACTTGCAGCAGATTCCATTTTACGTTCCATTCCACGTTATTTGATATAAGGATTGCACTGGGGTATAGAAATGGAGTACCCATCCTCGCCGTAGCAAAACAAAAGTGGGTACTGCAATGCATCATATGAGCTATGGATTTCAGTTATTCGATACAATGTGTTATTATGGCTCTCAGTTACAATATCCCGCTTAGAAAGTTTCTGTACAACAATAACTAAAGCAACTTCATTTGACGTAGGTTGATTATACCGTCCATTGTGGCCATTTGTAGGTTTTCTTTTAGCATTTATAACAACTTTAAATGTATTTAGCGTAGCAGATACTTTTCCAGGGCTTGTTTTAACTCCCTTACGTATAAATTATGAGTATGTAGCATTTTTTGTATTTGTAAGGCACTGAACCGGGTTTTACATACAGAAAGTTATTGCATCTCAATCGAACTTCTTTATGGTCCTCACCAACAAAACATATCTGTAAGAACTGTGGTTCATTCTGGGCTGGCGGAAGCAAACTTCCAACCAAATGATACACTTGGCCCTGCATTTTGAATGTAGGCATAAAATCATCCTATACTATCTTTTTAGCTACAAATGAGGTCATTTGAAAACAACTGTTATAAGGCCATATGCCAGCCATGAAGTGATAATGCGCAGGGTAAAGGTTTTTCACCAAACAGTAAAGAAGATCTGGAAGCTTTTGCAAAGGCTCAAGCTGGACCTTTTCTGAATTGTGGGAATGTGTCCCACAGACACATTTTTGTATTTGAGAGTTTTACACCACTTGCATTCGATTTTCATCGATCCCAAAACAACAGTATTATCACTATTTTACGCTATGTTACTATCATATCTCAGTCCAGAAAAGGCTTTAGAATCCCAAAGTTGTAGACGGCTTTCAACTCGCTTTCCGTTATGATTTCATTCGTATCGTAACTGTGATACTCTGTACACTTCAAGGTGTTTTCGCTAATATTTACTTGCAGCCTGCTTATGTACTTCAGGGTGTTCCCGCTGATAATCAACGACAGCCTGCCTGTGAACTTTAGGGTATTTTCCTGATAATTAGCTGCATGTTTATGATGATCAGGAGGTTCATCTTTATTATATTTTTTTCTTACTCCTTATGTTGCAATTTTCTGACCACATTGGTAACGATAGCCCCGAGTTTCTTCGCCTTATTTTTTGTGACTTATTTGTCAAACTAATTTCATTTTAGACTGACTCTTGTGTAGTTAATGTTGGAGATTCTAAGCAATTATTCGTGGACAAAGAAGAAATTAAATTTGACTTATATTCAGATTCAATAATTGTGTAAGTAGGCGAATGAAAGTCCTGCACCACATTAGAAATTGGTGAAGGTTGAGTAAACGTCGGAGATACAGCTATTTCCATGCGTCGGTTTTTGGCTATAAGTCGCTCATCAGTTTTATTATCTCCATTGGCATCAGCGTAGGCGTCAAAGTGACCATTAGAAAGATCTTGGAAAAACGTAACCTTTTGATGGGTTGTTTCTGTACCAAATTTGGCATATAGGTTGCCTTTTCGATACACTTCAAATACAAATGATATATTTGACCGAATGCAACTAACTCGCAGAAATCGCCATATATAGAGTATTGTAACATATTATCAAATGTATACTCTTCTTTTGTCCATGATTGTTGCCATGACGGTCATGAGATATAACAGCAAATTTATCCCAATTGTTCGTCACATGACGCACAATTTCTTTATTAATATCAATAGAGCTAACTATTTATTAAGCGTACGGAAAAGGTGTGGGTCATCTCCCACTATTGTTACAATAGTAAGGTTTTTTAATTTCCCATTGAAGTTAATCAACTCTGCTCCCATTTAAAAAAAATAGTCTCAGACAAATTTATAAATATAAGAAAATTGCGAAAAATAATACATACTAAATTAAACTTCTAAGACAAACTACTACCTACTACTACTATTAATATCAAACACAAATATTTTTACAATTAAAACTAATAACCTATATTATACACTAACAAATCAAACTCAAAGATTAATAAAGCAACAAATGAAAAAGAAATTAAATTAACTACAAAATATTCTTATTAAATAGTGAAAATCAATTTCCAAACAAATTATACAGCAATCGCAAATATTGGCTAAGTAGGTAATCTAAGAGATTTACAAGGAATTAATAGAATCAGGCGTTACTTTGCGGAAATCCATTATATAAAAGCTTTTACAAAAATTTATATTTCGCGGATATTTGTGAAGTAAATTTTTGTAAAAGCTTTTATTTACAAGGAAATTTCGAAGGAAAATCAAAGTATAAGGTAAGTTTTTCATTCAAAGAATCTAAAATTATGAAAACACATATAAACATGTGTCAAACTAAAATGTAATTTAAATCAAAAGCACTAAGGAGTACTGATATTAACTTCGATGTAAATCACCACTAAAATAACTTTCTAATCCTTTTAAACCCCGTTAGGTGAAGAGTTTCAATAAAATACGAAACACATCTTCCATCAATTCTGTTAAAAAATGTTTAAGCAAAATTTGAAGTACCAAGGAATCACGTTGCCCCATACAAACTTTACCACCGTTTTTCTCCCTCTTAGAAGTAGAATTTCGGAAAATCCTTTCTTATCGGATGCCTAAGTATGCGATACGAAAAATATTTATGAAAATCATTTAAAGAAGTGTTACCATTTCCATCGTCACGGCGATCGAAGAACCCATTGCGAGATGTTCTTTGGCTAGGTCCCAAGTGGGTACTGCGATCACTAGTACTTCTAAAAGCACTACTCCAAGTATACCCAGGACCGACCATATTTTGCGAGCAGCTGGAATATAAAAAAGTTGTCGTTTGTCTAATTACTGAACATTCACATAGTAGAAGGGCCTAAGTTTTAGCGTTACCGTTCAGTTAAACTTAACAAAGTTCAAAAACTTTATTAAACTAAGTTTGTATAAAAATGGTTATTATAATATTAAAGAATTTATGGATGATAATAACCCCTGGAAATGAGGTGATCGCTACCAAGCTATTTCTAATTTGTTGTGTTGTTAATTTGTGTAACATATATGATTGTAAGCTATTATTTAAAAAATAAGTCCCGCTGGGTTTTTTGCTGGTTCCTCCAATAATAGAGGGTTTTTTTCGAACCAGTGGTAATTAAACAAAAAAGTGACTTTCAATAAGTATTATTTATAATCTATATTGAATAAAAAAGTTTCTGTTTCTGATGACGATGATGAGTTTTACTTATTATCGCTATCAGCGACCACGGTCATAAAAGCTTGGTACCTCCGAAAGCTCAAATTTTCCTGACCCCATGGCTTCCACGTATTGGATTCGAGGAGGTCCGTAGCACATATGGTGTATGAGGCCGCAGAGGAAGGAAGACCTTGTGTTCTGGTACGCCTAAGGTACCTGTGAGGGTGGAGATGTCGCCTCCGGCGGCCGGCACTGGTGTGGCCGTGGATATTTGCGAAAGTGTTCCCGTGGCCCTACCAATATGCGACGAAGGTGGACCAGCATGGGGTTTTCATCGGTGCAAGTCCGATAAAACCCGTTCTTACCCCTGCGAGGTGGGTAGGCATTTCCCCATGTAAAAGAGACACTAATTCAAAAAAGAGCTTCTTCCTTAATCACAGTTTGGTGTGCACAGTATGTAGCATAACAGTTAGTAATTTTGTTAAACGTGGCAATTACGGTAAATCATCCCGATAATGACCACCGGTCTCGATATTTTAAGTTTGACAAATTTTGATGCTGCAAGACAAAGTATTCAGTGGCATTCCTATTTAATTTTATCAGTTAATTATTATTAGTTTATTTAGCTGTAAGTAGATATAGCTATTATTAGATTAAAACTGGGAAGTCAAAACTGTATCATCTAGTAATATCAGCGACAGTACGTTGAGGTACAGAACAAAGCCGGGAACATTTATATTTTATATAATATTCAAATTAGGCATAAAGTGATATTCTTTGTGGATTCTGTAGAATATCTGTTTCTTTAAAAAAAAATGCGCCGTCAGCGCCACAAGCGGTGAATTATGAAATTATTTTATGATACGACCATATCATGTAGTTTAGATCGTCGTTCTATTCATTGATTTGGTCAAGCTGTATCATTACATGTTCAAAAAATTTTGTTAAATGTAATAAAATGCCACCATTTCACGAAATGATTGACTGCTTTATGATACGATTCATTAATTGATGTAAACAGCACTTTTATTAAACTGTACCGTATAGGTAAAGAATTGCAATAATCTCAGTATCAGTTTTAATAAGTTTATTTGTAGAATAGCAATTAAACTAAAAACTATCTTAAATTTCACATCTATATGTATAAAAGACAAACCTGACTGACACATCTATATACGCACAGCCGAAAGTACTGAATAGATTTCGCTGAAATTTGACATACAGACAGTTGCAATGACGTAATCATACGCTAAGAAAGGATTTTTGAAAATTCGGCCCCTAAGGCGGTGAAAAAGGGGTTAAAAGTTTGTATGGAAGTCCGTCATTTTTAGAGCTAGAAGCCTGAAATTTTGTTTTTAGGTTAAGGATTAGAAATAAACAGTTACATGTCGTGCAGGGTTCTTGAAAATTCAACCGCTAAGGGGGTGAAAAAGGGGTTGAAACTTTATATGGGGAAACAAGATTAGTTAAACTATTTTATTCAAAACTTCACAGGAGTACTCCTATAAATAAATGAGTAAACAAGTGTTTCATGCTCTTTCAGAATTCGACCCCAAAAAGGTGGAAAAGGGGTGGCAAATTTTGAAAATCAATTTTTATGGTTTATCGTGTCGCTGATTACGAAAACAACAACTATTTCAAAATCCATCGTAGCAGACGGAAAATACCTACCATCATCCCCTGTGGGGGCGCGATGTGGTTGAAATTTCAATATGGGTGTCGTTTTATGATTTTTAGGGACGTTAATTACATGGATAATGGATGAAGGGATGGATGGATGTATGTTTGTATGTAAAAATCATCATGGGTTGGGTGACTTGGGTGTCATTTTTGAGGTTTTTGGGTCGTAAATAACGTAAATGATATTGATAAATATTTTAAACTTAATTTATTAGAATAGAATAGAATATACTTTTATTGCACAAAAACATAAAATAAAATAGACAAGAAGATTTGTACAAAATATTTGCATAAAATTACACCTCAACAATACCCAATTACAAGTATTAGTTAAAATACAATCACAACGACCTCGGTCATTTTTCTGTGAATAAAACAATCGAGAGAATTTTAAATATATACTGGTTCTCACGAATGAGACATATAATAAAAAATAAATAATTGTATATGGTGTCTCAATTACAAAAATAAAGGCGGAACAATAGAAGGAGAACTATATCCATTACCAAAATATGCCTAGGACCTTTTGTGGAAATTTGGAATAATAATGGATATAAGTCACAGTAGAGGTATTCACTAAATTCATTAACTTCATATCAGCGGTGTCTATCACAGGCAGTAGTAATGTGATTCAAGAATTCTTAAATGTGTTGAAAATATTCGATAATCCGCAAACATTGAGGATGCCGGCGCTTACCTCAAAATAATTTAAAAATTGTTGTTTTAATAAAAATATTAGGTTGCATACTCTAGCTAGGTCTAATAGGTAAGTCGAAAGATTTAATAGGATTAATAGCACGTTTTACAAAACTATGGATTAAAATTCATTAGTAGCATCCTGACAATAAAATAATAAATTAAAATGAAATATGAAAAGACGTGTTGGCATGGCAAAGGTATAAATTTTAAATATTAAAACATTTAAAATAATGGTGAAATATTCTTAAATACATATTTTATGCATATGGACTAAACTTACATCATAATTATCTAAAACACGCAGAAAAAGACTAACCCAGTCACTGCCAAGAACGACTGAAGTGAAATGACGGTCATATGCTTGAACTGAAAACAGTCACACTTATTATTGAGCGGGAATTGATAAAGTTAGTCATAGAGGTAGTCTCAGACTAAAAGCATTTTGCAGTTAGCTAAGTTAGCTATCCCACAAATCAAAGCTCCATTTTTCTTAAGAGTGAATAGTTATCTGATTAATGTGACAATAGATCAGATTTTTAATGCTTATGTATATACTGGTGTTTCAGCAATTACTGTTCAGTGTGTGCGTGCTTGCGTGCATACGTGCGTATATGGGTGCGTGCGGACCGTGTTGGCAACATCATGGCAATATTGTGAAGTTCCTGCGTATGATTCAAATTTTTCTATCACGGTCTGCTTCAGAAGTTGCGCTTCAACTACCGATCGTGTTGCTGGCCTCAATTTATGATAAATCTATATTATTTTAAGAGTGATTTTAAATTGTAATTCTGTCTATAAAATATTCATTATAAAAAGAAGTTTACACTATGAACAGTGCAACAAACAACATAACTATGTCCAGTCCTTGACGTCTCTGCTACAAAGTCTTTTCCAATATGAAGTTTGCATGTATAATTACCTGGAAAGTTTTTAATAAGCTTTTGAGTAGCAGCGTATATTCTTAATAACGGATAGAAGGCAAGCGCGACTGCAAGCTCGAACAACCATATTTTCGCGCCACGTCGTATGTCACCGAATCCATGAACTATTCTCGTTACTCCGATGTTTATCCTGAAGAATAAATTATAGATATCTTAAAACACAATAATATAAATCAATGAAATTGCAATGATGTTTTACAGAATTTAGAAAGCTAAACAGAATTTTGATATCTGTTACATCCAACCATTCCTTATATTCTATAATAGTTCACTGCTGAAAATAGGCGTCCCTAATAGATTGCTTCATAAAGAGGATTTTGCCACAGTTTCTACGCTTGGAATGCTGGTTGCATTTACAGTTTTAACAATTATTTTAAGTTGTTATCAAGAAGATGATGCTCCATCCTTATTCTCGCTCCTCCATATCTCCTGTTTAATTTTCCCGCTGTCGTCTCTTACGACGCCACAAAATGATATGGCGTTGTGGATTTTCTGACCATGACATCGTATATACCTATATAATATCGTTTAAGTAATATATTGTAGACTAGCTGTTCCCCGCGACTTCGCCCTCGTGTGATTTAGGGTTTTAATTATGTTGCGGGGAACCTTAATACTTTTTCTAAAATATAAGTAGCCTAAGTTACTCCTTATAACATCAGCTATCTGCCAGTGAAAGTCGCGTCGAAATCGGTCCAGCCGTTTCGATTAGCCGGAACAAACAGACAGACAGACAGACAGATGGACAGACAGACAAAAATTTAAAATTTCTTTTTGTTATAAGTACCGTATATACTTTCATATGCATTTAGTAAAAAGCTGGTATTTTGACATTATAAACAGACACTTCAATTTTATTTATTTGTATAGATTGTGGTGTTAAGGGCCGTAATTTACTGCACGGTTTTCGTAGTACTCGACCATCAAGCTGCGGAGCCTGGGTTTAAATCACAGCTATATTCTTATCTTATTTTTTGTTGTTTGTCCAAGTGTCTCTCTAATACTGCTTCCTAACGTACACAAGCGTCAGACGAGTTGATTAGAAATACACTTCTTACGGTATTCGAAAGCTATAGCAGTGGTCGATTTCAAACAGGATAAAACTATTCTAATAATTTAATCTATCTAATATTTTATTAGTCATGTTTAACTTGCTTTCCACTTTCTACGAAGTCATAGATCACCATGCTACAAAATATTATTAGTAGTATAACTACAAATATGTGGTATATAGCTTTTATGTGAAGAGATTCTTCAACGAGTGTCGTTAATGGCGATTCTCGAAGCATAAATTCTGGTATTGGTTTTTTCTCATCGTCTTGCTCAGTAAATCCATTTTGTAGAATAATCTTTTTCTTGCGCTTGCGTATATCGTCTGTTTCCATTTGTGCCATTCTCTGAAAGAAAGGTAGAATTGTTAAAAAATAACTTAATAATTATATACTATTAGTGGTCGCCTAGTGGTTGAAATTCGACCGTAATCCATTAATTTTTAAGGTTTATGTATAAAGCAAGCTCTATTTCACTTTCAACTGCACATGAATATATATGTACAAAATATATATTAAGAGCTTTTTTGACTGAAGTACACACAATATTGAAAATGGAATATTTGAAATTACACAAAATTTACAGCTTATTCGGTTAATCTGCCAATAATTATTTGTTGACAACATTTTAAAAATCTTTGCCGATACATAGGCTGCACTAAAAGTATCGGGAATGGAATATTTCCGCTGTTCCTCTCATATTAAAATCTTTTTAATTGAAAAGTCCTCGGTTTTTTAAAATTGAATACCATTTATTTATTTAAAAAAAAAAAGATTCTCGATCTTGTCACAAGGTTTTGTCAAACTTGTTTAGTCGTTGAGAAAATGGAATTGACTCGAGAAAATTCAAGAGCGTTGATTTATTATGACTTTCGAAGTGGTTTAACACAAAAACAGTGTGTTGACCGGATGATTTCTGCATTTAGTGATGAAGCCCCATCAAAAACTACAATTCATCGCTGATTTGCTGAATTTCAACGTGGACGTGTCAAGCTCAGTGACGATCCCCGTCAAGATCGTCCAAAAACTGCAGTCACCCAAGAAAACGTTGATGTTGTGCGTAAGCTGATTGAGGAAGATCGTCATGTGACATACCGCGAAATTCAGGCAACTTTAGACATTGGCATGAGTCAAATACAAATAATCTTGCATGAACAATTAGGTGTAAAAAAGTTGTTTTCCCGATGGATACCGCATTCGCTTTGTGAAGATTAAAAAGCGGCTCGCGTTACTTGGTGCGTCAGAACTCTCGAAAGATTCCACGCAGGTTCCTCAAATGCTGTATACAACATCGTATCAGGTGACGAATCCTCGATATACGTGTACGAACCCGAAACAAGAAACCAGTCACGAGTTTGGGTGTTCAAAAATGAGTTAAAGCCAACAAAAGTTGTTCGTTCACGGAGTGTTGCAAAAAAAAAAATGGTGGCCACGTTTGTCTCCAAAACCGGCCATGTTGCGACTATTCCTCTTGAGCGACAAAGAACGGTTAATGCAGAATGGTATGCTAGTATTTGTTTGCCACAGGTCGTTTCTGAACTCCGTAAAGAGAACTGCAACCACCGCATCATCCTCCATCAGGACAATGCGAGTTCTCACACCGCACACAGAACAAAAGAGTTTTTAGAGCAAAAAAACATAGAATTATTAGACCATCCGACGTACAGCCCCGGCCTAAGCCCTAATGATTTCTATACTTTCCCTAAAATAAAGAATAAATTGCGTGGACTGAGATTTTAATCACCTGAAGAAGCTGTAGACGCCTACAAAACGGCCATTTTGGAGACATACTTTGGAATGGAATGGTTGCTTCAATGATTGGTTCCATCGTATGGAAAAATGTGTCAAATTTCGCGGAGAATACTTCGAAAAGCAATAAATACATTTTTAAATAGTAATGTTGTGTCACTTCTTTGTTTCCCGAAATTTTCAGTGTAATCCCTCTTCTGTGCGGCCGTTCGACCACATACCATTAAGTGTTTAGTCCTTAAAGTGGTATAATATTATAGTAATAATAAATACTTCGACAAAGCATCGTAGTACCTATGATAATTTATCCAAAATTTTAACTATTTGAGGATTATGTGTTTACATTGACAGTATGAACGTAAACAATGTATATTTATTTTAAATTCAATGTATTTGTTGTATGTGTTTATCTTTATATATAAAAATTACGTGTCACGTTGTTTGTCCGCGATAGACTCCTAAACTACTGAACTGATTTCAATGAAATTTTGCACACTGCGTGCATTTTGGTCCAACTTGAGAGATAGGATATTTTTTATCCCGCTAAACGACCCTCAAAATTTTTTATTGCGAATTTAAGGATTTTTATAGGAAGGGTCGTTGGAAAGGGCAGAACAACGTCTGCTTGGCCAGCTAGTAATATATAAATTTTTGCTTTCTACACTCTTTCTCCGTATAAACTTTAAATATGCCAATAATCATCATCCTTCGTTAAAAAATAAAATTATGAAATTTGACCGTTTCACCATTATATACTATAAGAACATTTTCTTAAGATGCCATACCACCTGCACAGTTATACCTGCACAGAATACAGTTGTCTGACTGAAGAGGCTCTGGCAATCAACTTAATGATCGATTGATAGTAACTATTCTCAATTTTGAGTCTAAATCCACGATTGTAGTTTTGTACCAAAAGGAATTTTATGTGGCAGAGCTGTCAATACGCTGAACAACTAATGAAATACTGTAGGACAGTAGCCGATAGTTGTCCGATGTACGGGGTGTCCATCAGACTAAGCCAGTAGCGTAGCTATACTGTACTCGAGGAACGCTCTCTTACAATATGCTGGCCAGCGCGAGGGCAATCTATTACAGGGCCATGGCAAACTTTAAAAAATAATAATTCATGACCGAGCAAATAGAGGTATAAAATATCATTAAGGCTCTGTGACGCTGTGGCCATTCAGGCTTAGCATTAAGTTGCAGCGCTGAGAATCGCGGGTTCAAATACCAGAAATAATAGTATAGTATAAAAAATAATAATAGTCGGTGTATTCTAGTGATATATTTCGGAAAGAAGGATCCAAGGTGAGCTGACTCCTTTTTGCAGTGAAGAAACATGCTTGTGTTTTGGATGCGTTGAATTTCACAAGATTGACATTGTCCAATTCGGAGACTACCTCTAGTGTGAGATTCACACACATAGATTCTCTTTCGGACTGGATTTGATCCCGGTTGGCCGGACAACTTGGTTGGTATCTCTCCACACTTTTGTAAAATACTCTTTAGATTATCTTTGATGATATTAAAGAAAAAAAATGTTTGATGAATAAATCTATACATATTATAATAAAAATGCGATTTGCAGATGTCTATACATTTTATATTTTTGTAGCTAAAGTAATTGAGAGGGACTAAAATTACATTAAAGTACATTTCTGTCATTTTTAGAATTCTCTATCTGTTTGTTTATGAACGTATCGCGTATAAATTGCTAATTTATATCCAAAGAATCATAAAAGAAAATCATAAAGCGTATCTTCGAGTAAAATTTAGTCTTTGTTTTAATAAAATCGGTTTATTCTGTCAATAGTTATGGTTAATGTTCTGAAGTATGGGTACGAAGTATAGGTAAATTTGTTCAATAGTGGCGTTGAGTCATCAAGTGAATCTCAATGTCTCATTCTAATTTCAGAAATCTTCATTAAATAATGTAGAATAATGGTCTATATTAATTTACATAAAGAATATGTTTCTCACAAAGATAAACGTAATCTTCGTTAGAAAAAGTACAACATAATTAATTATTGTTAACGATAGACGGTGTTGCGCAAATGTATGCAAAAAGGTGGTTTGTATTTTTCTTCTCTGTATGAGTTCTTTCATTTTTGCTGCTGATCTTTATATTATTCATAGAGGGAATAAATATACCAACCTAAAATTTATTATGTAGTTCTTAAAATAAAAACGTGGTGATTTAGGGCTAGAATGTCAATCAAATCAGATATCAAAACAAAACCAAAAAGGAACATGTTCTACTTCAATTAAAAAGTAAGTACTGCTGGTCTAGGCATCTTCATATATCTGTGAGGTTTTTTCGGAATACGAAATAATTCATCATGCTACATTTATGCTTCTTTATTTAATTAATTTCAGTTTTTAAAATTTAGGTTTGCTTCTTAATCCTTTCGTTATTAATCTCTAAATTTAATAATATACTTCTAGATCCCTATACTCTCAATTATTGAAAACCTGTAATTTACCTCTTAATTTAAAGATTCTTCTTTATAATGTATCAACCGCGTCAAAATTTTTGTCTTTTATTTTTAAGAACTGGTGAAAATATCTCTCATATCTCTTTAAATATTTTTATAGGAGGGGGGGGGGGGGGGGGGGGGGCAAACGAGCATGCGGCTTACCCGATGGTAAGTGACTACCGCCGCCCATGAACAACAGCAAAACCAGGGGAATTGCAGATGCGTTGCAGGCCTTTTAAAAAGGAGTAGGCTCTTTTCTTGAAGCCCCCTAAGTCGTATCGGACCGGAAAAATCGCTGGTGGTAATCGATTCTACAAGCAAGTTGTGCGAGGAAGAACATTTCTTACTGTTTAGTATGGTGAGTGTAGAGAACCGAAGACCCTTTTTACTGGAAATGGGGCATTCCATCTTAGTCTTCACGGGTAACAACGCATCTGCATTTTGATTTGTAAAAGAGGATAGATGTAGATGTCTATGGACTGCAGCAACCACTTACCATACGGTGGACTGTGTGCTCGTTTGTCACCCTATTGCTATAAAAAAATACAAACTTTCAACCCCTTTTCACCCCCTTAGAGAGAAGCCACACGATGCGGTGCGGTCGCGGCGCGGCGCCGGAGCGATGTCGCTGCGGCGTCCTGCATATAAAAATCAATGATATGCCAGACGGTGCGTTCTGGCGCCGCACCGCAGGCACACCGCACTTTGATTGAGCGCGACGCGAGGGGGGGGGGGGGGAGGAAGTGCTGCTCCGGCGTCGCGACGTCTATTCCGATCCATTTCCATTTTGCACTGGGACTGGCTAGGTCCCCACTCCGCACACTACGGCGCCGCAACGGTGCCGTATCGCGGCGCCGCATACCACATGTGTACAGTGATGCGGCAAAATGTTTGCGGTGCGGCGCCGCACCGCACCGTGTGGCTTCTCTGTTAGGAGTTAAATTTTCATAAACCCTAGAACAAGTAATTGCTTATTTCTAATTGTTAACCTAAAAACAAAGTTTCAGGCTTCTAACTCTAAAGATAAAGGACGTCCATACAAAATTTTAACCCCTTTTTCACCCCCTTAGGGGACGAATTTTCATCCCCTAAGGGGGATCAATCCTT